CAAACTCACATAAATAGATGAAGAGACATAGAGAGAAAGAAAGAAGAATGAAACATGCGGTATACAATATGACGCCTTAATATCTTTCCTTGATGTTCCCCACTGTATTATGTGGCGACGAATCTATATTCGCCTACATTCGCTTTGATAAAAGAGTTTCACTGTCATCAAAAATTCTATTTACTTTCATTCACTGTTCGTCGTCATATGTCACATTATTTTCTTTGTATATATAACATAAACAAAACAGTAAGGCTATTGTAGTTGAATTCATATCAAATGCAACGATGAAATGATATGGAAAACCTTAGAAGAGGAAATACATGCATCCCCGTTGCTGAAAGGAATCAATAAAACACGAGAAAAGACCAGATGGAAAACAGTCTTAATGATAACATAAGTTTTTCTACTTGTCCATCTTTTCCCTGTTATATCGTTTCAGTGGGTGGGAAATCATGGCTCTCCACAACTTTCTATATTTTATTCTTCTAACTTTCGATCATCGTCCAGTTCTGACTCCTCTCCGTTCTTCTGAGCACGAGTAGAGAATTTTTACTGTTTGCTGTTTAGCAATGGCTTTCTGTAAATTTCTTGTAAATTCTACTCAGACTCTATACTCTATACTAACATCGCCTAGATTCCGTAATTTTATTTATTTATGTTTTCCTCAATAGGAGTAAATAGGTTTGCCTATCGTCCGGTTCAAACTTCTCCCCTTTTTTTTTTTTTTTAAGAGAAGTAGAGGTTTATCCTGTTTGGGATTGGGTTTCCGGTTCCTTCTTCAGTTTTTTTTTTAATTCACTTTTACTCTCGGATGCTCCATTACGTCATAGTGATATTATCGCCTTGATTGGAATGAGCAGATTAAAAGAAATTCAACCCTTTTTGCATTGTTTTGCGATTTATAAGGCCATTCATATTAAATGTTCTTTTTCTATCTTCTCTTCTCTTCAATGTGGTGTATGTATTAAATTATCTCGGCTTTCCTTTCTTGATATGTTCCACAGAAATTTTAACTATCTCTTTCTCATTGTAAGTATACGTTTCCTTGTAAATGAAAATGGCGCAGTCACTCATATCTGAAGATTCCAATCAGTCTAGTAGGGCGTTTAGCTAATCCCCATTTCAGACACCTGCTCAGGCAAATTTGTGTTTGTTCAACATCCATTGAGCCCACATGTGGTTTATACTGCAGCTGTGCTGAGAGGACCTTAGTTATAGTTTCTGGGAGAGATCGAGTTATCTAGTGTGATCAACAGACTGAACAAGGATAACACGCGAAAAGCTTTGTTTCCTCTTCATCTGTATGGAAAATTGTCCATCATTCCTTGCCATATAGGAGATTAGCTATTACAAGCACACAAACACATGGATAATTATTTAAAGAAAAAATTATATATATGCATTCACGGGACATTAATATAAATTTTACAATAATTTGTCTAGGAGACAATCAGATAGACATTACAAATATGGAAAATAAAAGTGAATTAAGGTCTTACTCGTGAGTTGATTTGGTCATGCCTCCCGTCAGAGATTTTGTTTTCTTTGTTTCCAAGGAAATATTATTTTCTGTTATTACTCTTTGCAATCTCCCCTTGTCCTTGTTCTGCCATCAATTCACACAATAACCTTACCGTCAATATGTCTTTTGTCAAATTCTCAAAGCCTTTCTTCCTAATAATCTGTCCCAGAAGTGTTAACTGTCTCTTTCTGATTATAAGTATACGTTACTCTGTAGTCTATAGTATTCATACTATCCCTATGTAGTGATACGTCTCTTTCGATTCAAATATCTTCTTCATCTTTAAGGAAACAGTGTTAAGTACTTGAAACTTTTTTCCTTAACTCGTTTTTTACGCTTGCGACGTCAAGATGAAAAAAAAAGTTCCGCTTCCATTTTGTTTCGTGTCTACCGCCGTTGTCTGTAAAGTATTTGATTGTAGACAAAAACAATAACTGGTTTCTGCTTTGTGTTTTTCGCTTAGCGATTTAGGAATGTCTGGATTTTTATTTATATATTTATTTTCATAGTCCAACGAAAGAGGTTGTTGTCAATGTGGAGAGCTTTTCAGACTGAGTTCTTTAAATCTGCCTATCATTCTTTGGTTATATTAACAGAAAGAAATATGTTCCAAAGTTTTTTTAAGCTATTATCGATTCTATATTTCCTTAAAGACTAAGATTCTATTTGTTACTATTGTTTAGCTAATTCAAGGCCTGAGAGTCACTCTGGGACGATGTAAGAGCGTATAAGAAGGATTGTATATTATTGAGGACACATAACAGTTGACCATCGACTTGAAGACTCCCTTCCACGGTCTTGGATATGAATGTCTCCGAGTTGATCTTACTCATTGCCAATAGAATATGAAGAGAATAAGGTTAAGTTTTATCGCTGTACTTGGCACATCGAGTCACAGATGAACTGGTGGAACCAAGGAATATGTCATGAAAATAGCGAAAGGTAGCAAGATTTTGTCTGTGACAAATGAGTTGAAGAGTGGAAAAGAATTCATCATCAACAAGGGCGATTTTCAATTCGGTCGAGGCTGGATAGGACACATAGTTCAGTGGACAAAAGCGTTAGTTAAAGTAAGCCAGTAACTTGACTCAAAAAGTTGCGATTCACTACCTAGCCACGGCAGTGGTGAACGGACATTTGGAAAGCTGAGTTACTGAAGAAACTGAAAAATCCAGAAAAGGCATGGCAAGTGGAACTAGAACAATCTACCCCCGTGGACTAAGTAAAGTGTTCGGTTCTAAATTACAACGTATATCACCTGAAGAAGGTCGGAGCGTACAGCGGACAAATCGCCGTGAATGTGACAATAAAGATGAGGACAACAGTCCGAATAGTGTAAATAATATGTTATAATAATATGTTATAGATTAATAAAAAAAAAAAATAGAACTACATCTCGTCATCATCATCATCATCATCATCATCACCTTGACTTTTGCAATCGTAGGAGTGATCCGAATGCGGGAGCTATACTAAATCCCCTCCACAATGGTCTATCAATGGCAGCCATCAGCAACTCTGATATAGTCATACCTGTCCATTAGTGGACATTGTCCAGTCATTTTCTAAGTTGGCATCCTATCCTATGTCCAGCTTCAACGGTGCCTTTCATGGTGGTCATGCACAGACTGTCGTGCCTTGTAACGTGTCCAAACCATGTCGTCATTTTTCTCCGTTTGACAGTGGCGAGAAGAGGTTCCCACAGAACTTCCAAACCTTTTCCGCATATACATCTCTTTATTGATCAATATCTTTTATATATATATATATATATATATATATATATATATATATATATATGTGTGTGTGTGTGTGTGTGTGTGTGTGAAAAGTGAATATAAATATAAATAAATATATATATATGTATAATTATTTATATATTATATGCGCGGTACTTATTAGAAAGCGCTCAAACCCCACCACACATATATACATACATATATACATACATGCGAGAAAATATTTTTCAAATATTTTTCAACGGAAAAAAAAAAAAAAATTTCATAATATGACATGGATACATTCACGAGACAATAACGAGACATTTCCGCCACACTTCCAATGTTTAAATTTCAACATTTCAACATACAAATGCGTATGTATAGACATAACACCACCCGTATACATACATGTGTCAGCTGAAACTGTCTACATATGTTTATATATATGTATGAGTCCCGACGGACAACCAAGTATGTATATGTATATGTGTCTGCATACATCGATGTTTGCGTTAGTACGATGAGTGACAAAACGACGAAATTTCCCCCACCACTTCCACAATAACACCAATACACGCAATCTACATAAACCCAAATTTTTAAAACATTAATCAGTTTGTCTGACGATCGCTAAAGCGTGAAACCCAGGGTCACAAACTCACATCTATCCAACTAAAAATATATATATATATATATATATATATATATTAGTAAATACACATAATATCCAACGTCCAAACCATGATTCGGAGTTTCATGCAGTTCTCGCAATCTTCAGGTGCAAATATATACTACCTAAACCTATATACAGTCTGAGTGCTTAAATGCAATCAACATGACATGATGATTGCGTTTAAGCGTCAAACGGACTCTCGCCTGACCTCAGTAGTTGAAGTGGGGCAGTCCAGAAAAGTAAATTGACATAAAATGAATTTGTCAAAAAAAAAAAAAACGAGTAGATTACAAAACTTACTTAAGAAATGAACACACACACACACACACACACACACACACACACACACACACACACACACATATACATATATATATATATATATATATATATATATATATATATATATTAAAGTTTGACGCAAAAGGTTATTTGCTACGAGTTCTTAAGCCACCCTGTTTTGCCATGGATTAAGCCCATCTATTCAGTAGCAAAATAAGGTGCTTACAGGCATATAATTAAGTTAACAAGGTACAGAAGTTCTGAAATCTTAAAGCAGTTGATACCTGGCCCTTATCCAGCGTAAAACAGAGTCTGTTAGATTATGCCGTGCGTAGAGTTTTGAAGCGAGTCAAAAAGCCTTATCACTCGGCACCTAGCTCAAGTCTGCCATCAAAGGGAAATGAACCAAGATGTCCAAGAACTTTGTCGTTAAGAGATGTGCAGATATTTGAGTTTGAGTTGAATCTACGATTTAAGATAATAGATATCACAACGACATCGTTTGTATTTTTTATCTAAGAGTTTAATAATGTTTTGAATGAATCGGCCTATTTATGGAAAATATGAGAACGTCGCAGAAAGTTGACAAATTAGTCTCCCCACTATCTACGATAAACACAGAGAATTCTAAAACTGTTTACTTTAAAATGTTTCGGCGTGTAAACAGCGTCAACTGAATCTTTCTTCCTCGCTTAATCAACATCCAAAACATCTCAAAGTATAACTTTTCTAAATGGTCTTATATTTACTATTCAATCGGATTCTCATTTGAACACATCTATTTATCTATCTATCTCAGTCAGTTCAATATCTATCTATCTATCTATATATCTCGGTCAGTTCAATATCTATCTATCTATCTCAGTATGTTTAATATCTATCTATCTATCTATCTATCTATCTATCTATCTATCTTAGTCAGTTCAATATCTATCTATCTCAGTCAGTACAATATCTATCTATCTATCTATCTATCTCAGTATGTTTAATATCTATCTATTTATATATCTATCTATCTCAGTCTGTTCATTATCTATCTATCTCAGGCTGTTCAATATCTATCTATCTATCTATCTGAGTATGTTTAATATCTATTTATATATCTATATCTCTATCTATCTATCTATCTATCTCAGTCTGTTCAATGTCTATCTGTCTCAGTCTGTTCAATATTTATCTATCTATGCAAGACATTTGACAAAGTGTGGCATCGAGGGCTACTACATAAACTCTCCAGCTATACAATCTGAGATTGCTCTCTTAATTATCGAGTTCTTCCTAACCTATAGTTTCCTGAAATGTGTTGTAACATCCAGTCATCAGATGCCCTTAAGTTCAACGCCGGCATTCTATGGTATTCTCTCCTCGACCCAATCCTCTTTCTATCCTATATTAATTATCTGCCTCATCCTCTTCCGAACATTAGTATCCTTTCTACAAATAAATTGAAACAAAATTCCGTTATCATTCCCTTTTCGTATTTTTCCAATGAAACATGACCCAGTGCAGATGTTAGCACTTCGTATGTCCATTCCTTGTAGATTGACCACATATTCTCGATTGGATTTAAATCAGGAAGATTTCCGTGCCAATCTATAGTAAGTTGATTTGTTCACTGGTAAGGCTTGCCAGTGTTTTCGAGCAGCGTTAAAATATTCGTAGGCTTCCTTGGAGTAATGTCCATCGCAGACAATGGCTGTAGAACAACTAATCGACATTCGAGACAATAGTGTATGGGCGTGATAAAAATCTAATGCAATCGCGGATGACGCAATATTTTTCAAGGCCAATAATAAACCCCGAAAATATCATAATACACCTCGAAAATAGATTTATATTACTGCACGCTACTGCAAATGGACCTAAGGAAAAATAGAAATCAATTACACACTTTCACTCCAGGAGGTCTAAAAATGAGAGTATGGTGAAAGAAAGGAAACTAAAGAGGTTGTTTCAATTAATTTGCACTTGGTGTATCTATCCGAGTTATATCTATCTATCTATCTATCTATCTATCTATCTATCTATCTATCTATCTATCTATCTCAGTCTGTTCCTTATCTATCTATCTATCCACATGGTACGATGCGTACATTGTCGTCAATTTATGTTTTTAATTTTGCGCATGCTCGTTGTTTTTCTTTGATTTTGTCGACTGTAGGGTCATTTGAAGCAGCGTGATGATATTTACTTCGCCAGAAATTTGAAAATGGCATTCTGTACTACTTGGCATTCGCACCGGAACTTCCAATACGAACATTTCAGAGTGTTTGGGTCTCAATCTGAGGACAGTGCAGTGGATGAGTCTTATGGTGATTACGAGGGTTCGAGGATCAGAAATCTCAATCGAATTTGTTGGTGAGAGCCACAGATTCAACACGGAGGTCTACATTAAGTGCAGGGAGGGTTCCGTTTATTCTTCATTTCTCTTTTTATAGCTAACCCATCCCACGGACGTCGGCGACATTGTTCAAGAGAAACGGATGACGTCAGAGATTAGCACAGGGAGCCTACAACAATCCGTCGTGACCCTTGACCCCGCAGATTTCCGCCCAGCCAGTGTGTAGGGGATCCAACTTGAAAAATTTTTTCTCAAGTTAGCCAGCTTGCATGAGAGGAGCTTGCAGGGTTGGAGTAAGGCTGCTCGCCTTCTTTGTGATCTTTATGTTCGGGATAGATGAAGCTGCGATCGAGTAGACATTCTTTGCGAGGTCGATGCTCATGTACTGCCTAGCGACTCTGGCCAGAGGTGTTTCCTTACTGGTTAAAAGTAACTTTGGTGCAAGGGAGGACCTTGTCCATGCCGATGCAGGGATAGGTAGATAGGCATAGGTTAAACAAGATCTCTAATGAAGCTGTTAACATGGGCGCAGAATTGCGCAAGGAATAGATCCGTCGAGGTTTGATCGATATATTCGGGATGTCGATACCCCGGTGGGACGTACTCTGAGTTCGACTGATGACATGTGCGACGCATTTCGGCGGCATTTCGTTAGCCTGGTTTCTGTGAGAAGAGATTCGCAACTCTTTGGCTGACTTTCCTCGGCTTTCGCCGGCTGAAGCGGGTAGCTGTGAGGTTGACATCACAGCGGGTGAAATGTACTTGGCGTTGAAGAGGGTCAGCAATGGCAAGTCTCCGGGACATGATTGTCTGCTCTATGAATTGCACATGAGGCTGTCGCACATCTTTGTGCCGAATTTGACAGTTGTTTTTAAAAACTGGTTTCGGAAGCGGTTTATCTCCGACTGGACCTCCAGAGGTGTGATTAAGCCGTTGAAAAAAGGCAAGGATTTAGGGAGGCCCATATCTCTGACAAACACAGAGTTAAAGATTTTGGCCAATATTCTGACGCTGCAGTTACAGTCAATTGCCGGGATTCTGTGAAGGGCCGAACAATTCAGAGCAACCCACATCTAATCCACACGAGCTTAAAAGACGATGATCAAGCAGCGCTGATCAATTTGAATCAATCAAAGGCATTTGATAGGGTTTGCCATCAGTATCTGTCTGCTATCCTGCAATCTGTCAGATACAAACCCGACTTCTGCGGGTGGATTAGCCTCCCGAATAGCTCACCCAATGCTGTGGTACAAGTGAATGGAAAAGGGTCCTGCATTTTTGTGCTGTCTCGGCCGGCTCATCAAGTTTTCCCACTGCCACCCCCACTTTAGGCTTTGGAGTTGGAGCCTCTCATTCGCCAGCTGAGTAACAGAGTGTACAGTCCGGCACTACGTGGAATCGCTGTTCCTGGTGGTTCTTGAGCCAAGGCTTCTGCGTACGCCTATGACGTCTCCACTTTCGTGTCGTGCCGCTGCGATATTGAGACGTTATAGAAGGCGATTGTACGGTATGAAAAGGTCACGAGGACTTAAATTAAGCGCAAGAAGTCTTCCGGTTTGCGATTAGGTGCCTGGAAGAGTTCTGAGTTGGACTAACGAACCGGTCCGCATTTTTTGAGTGTTGTTCGGGCCCTGGATCCAGCTGGAAAATTGTTGGTCAGAGTACAGGCAAATGTCTGTGCGTCGGTCCGGACTTGGCTCCGAAGGCGGTTGTCCTTGAAGGGTAGGGCTGAGGCGTGTGCCACTTACGCCTTTCCTTCATCCTTTACCGGTCGTCTGTACTTCCTCTCTGTTAGAAGCATAAGAAGGCGATCGAGCGCTTTCTCTCCTTTCTCTTGTTGGGTAGTCGCAAGCATTATGTCGACAGAGAAGTCTGTGCACAACGTCCGTGTTATGGTGGGCTGGGAATGCCGCACTTGGTGAGTCAATGACACGCCTCATGGTTGGCTTTTCAACGCCGCGTGTTGACAGAGGACTTTCTAAGGCTGATCGCTGTCGTATAAGCCTCGGAATCAGTCTAGTTTCCTCCAAGAGTATCAAGCGGCCTTGAAAGACATTGCTCAGTCCAATGACTCATCACGGTTTAGGAGAGTTTTGTATCTGGAATTAGAGGTAGGGGTCGCGAAGGATCCTCTCTGTGTACGGTTCGTTTTGTAGGTGACCGAGTTGCGCACTTCTTGGTCTTGGGCGCCAACAGTGGATTACCTCAGGAACCTTGAGTTTTCGCTTAACTGCTGATTGGTTTGGAATGGGATATCTTTCAGTGACGTAGCCTTCAGATGGAGCTTAGCGGATTTATCTGACTGACATCGGTGTGACCGTGGCTTAGAGGAAACGGCTTCGCACGCCTTTTACTATTGTCCTCGGGTGTCACTATTGACGATTTGACGGCTCGTGTCGCTATCGAAAAATTCGTGTTCATTGATCTTGCATACGCGTGCATTAATGCGTCGACTCCGTATTTTGGAGTGAAATGAATGGTGTTTCTAACGCTGCTAGCCGTGGCAAGAATGATGATTTAGATGACGCAGATGGAGGGAATCTTCTTATACGAGAATCTGAACAGATTCTTTGAGCATCAGCTCAAGTTGAAGCTCAGAACAGATAGTATGCGTTTGTTATGAACAGATTTCAGCGAAATTTGGGTGAAAGTAGTGAGCTTGATTCGTGTGAATGGGTCTAACCTTGATTTTCTTTTTTAATTCACTTTGTCACAACGGGTGGTTTCCTGTGGAACCCTCCCCTGGTCAAGATAGACTCTCTTCATGTACCTACTTAATGTGAGTAAGTGTCATTCCTGGCCTATTTCCGGATTCCTCTTTTGTAATGAGCCAAATAGATATTCCCAACCTCTTCAGTTTGTATTTGGCCTTTTTCTTGTCAACTGGGTTAGTTGATAGCTACTCTCAGAAATAAAATGAGTCCTTTCTAGGATTAACCAATTTCTATAACAGATATATACTGCGATATAGTGATCTTGTGGAACCATTTTAATGAAACAAGGAAGAATACCGAGTTTCAATGGACAAAATGGAGAAATTAAAAAAGGCATTCATAAAAAATCAGTTGTTAAAATCTTCGACTCAGCGAAAGTAATGGCTTCAACTAGAGATGCTAGTGACTGTGTTATAGTCGCAATATTATTGCAAGAGGATCCTCCTCTAGAAAATTAATATCGGCAGAGGCGAATTATTCGAATATTGAGGAGGCATTGGTGATTGCATGGAGCACAGAAAGAGTTCGGAGTTTTTGCTGAAAAGGAAACGTTTTAATAAAATCTGATCATAAGCAGAATTATTTGAAGAATTTAAATCATGGAATTATTTATTTATTTAATTTTTTCAAAATCAGACCCGGTCTTACTGAAAATCTGTTCTGAATGAAAAAATAAAAAACGCAATAAAAGTAAGACATTATTTGAATTGCTTTTTAAATATTTTTCAATGCAATAATCCTTAA